CAAAGCAGGCAGAAGGCTGAGAAAAGTCAACCACGTGGGTGCCAGTAGTGTCGGTGCTTTAAGGTCCCCTACACTAACCTCCACCACCACCCCCACTGGACTTTGGCATAATCCAACTCACTCTTGAAAATATCACACAGAAATCAGAAATCCCCTCACCCTTTTGGGTATTCCATGCTCGGGAATGAACTTGATCTTCCATTTGATGAGATTCTTCTGGATTTTTTCCTAAACACACACACAAAAATTTCACACAAATGTTCAAGGATGATAATGTTCACATTTTTCTCCAATTCACTTTCTTAAAAAAAAGATTTATTTTTTATTTATTTGAAAGAGTTACAGAGAGAGAGAGAGAGAGAGAGAGGTCTTCCATCTGCTGCTTCATTCCCCAAATAGCCACAATGGCCAGAGTTGGGCCTGTCCAAAGGCAGGAGCCAGGAGCTTCTTTCGGGTCTTCCATGTGGGGGCAGGGTACACACACTTGGGCCATCTTCTACTGCTTTCCCTGGCCACAAGCAGGGAGCTGGATAGAAAGTGGAGCAGTTGGGAGTTGAATTGGCACCCATACGGGATGCCAACGCTGCAGGCTGGAGCTTTAACCCGCTTAATCCACTTATCCTACTACACCACAACGCTGGCCCCCTCCAATTCATTCTTTACTTGGACATCCTCCATGTCAGAAATACAAATCAACTCCCTTACTAATTGCCACATCGTTGTCTTCTATATCAATGTCCCTAGTTCCAATACTTCCATGAGATAGAATCCTAGGAGTGGAGTCGCTTGCCTCGGGCATGTGTCTTTTTTTTTTTTTTTGACAGGCAGAGTTAGACAGTGGGAGAGAGACAGAGAGAAAGGTCTTCCTTCCGTTGGTTTACCCCCAAATTGGCCGCTACGGCCAGAGTGCTGCGCCTATCCGAAGCCAGGAACCAGGTGCTTCTCCTGGTCTCCCATGGGGTGCAGGGCCCAAGCACTTGGGCCATCCTCCACTGCACTCCCGGGCCACAGCAGAGAGCTGGACTGGAAGAGGAGCAACCGGGACAGAATCTGGCGCCCCAACCAGGACTAGAACCCGGGGTGTCGGCGCCACAGGCAGAGGATTAGCCTAGTGAGCTGCGGCGCCGGTGGATCTAGCTCGTTTTAAAAACTGTTAATACAAAATCGGCCTGTAAAAAGCCTCTCCTTCCCATCCCAGGTCCAGACCATGAGGACTCCATGGAACCCAGACGCAACTGTTGTTGAGCACAGTCTGTTCAGGAAAGCGAGGGAGTCAGCCCCGGAAGAGTCAGATTTTATTGAGATCACCTTGCTTAAGAAGACCCATAATGCAGATCCGGGAAGGTTTCTATTTAAAATGACTCAGCAAACAATTCCTGAGCCCCTTGCCTCTGGCCACCTCCTCCGGGCGCTGGGGAGTAGACTGTGCTGCCTGTCCTCCCACAGTCACGCCTGCGAGGAAAGGCACAGACTGGTCCCAGCAGAAAGGTCGCGTGGGGGCTGGGAAGACAGGGAGACGGCCAGAAGCAAGCTGGTGAGGGTAAGGCAAGGGAGGAGGGAGGGGGTTATGGATCCTCAAGGCCCCCTAAGGGCTTTCTACCTTTGCCCCACACTCTGCAGGAAGCTGTACAAGCCTTTTCCGCTAGGGAATGACATGCAAATTTTCACTTTAGAAAACTCACTCAGGCTACGGGATGGAGACCAAAGGGAAAGGAGGCCCATTAGAGATGAGGAAATGGGGCTAGAAGCCCCAGAGCTTTGTAGATAAGGCCCTTGAGGAGATCTTTTGAATTTGGTCCTTTTTTTATTGGGGGGGGGGGGGGGGGGGGGGGGACAGGGAGGTGGGATGTGAGAGAAGTTACAGATGAAGCCAGGGTAGCAGGCAGCTGTGGATCCTTGGTCTGCTGAGAAGAAAGTCCTGGTGAGAAAATATGAACAGAAGGGCCAGCATTGTGGCATAGTAGGTAAAGCCACCGCCCGCAATGCCTTCGAGTCCCAGCTGCTTCACTTCGATCCAGCTCCCTGCTAATGCACCTGGTGAAGCAGAGGAAGATGGCCCAAGTGCCTGGGCCGTTGCATCCACGTGGGAGACCCAGAGAAGGCTCTGGACTCCTGGCTTCAGCCTGGCCCAGCTCCCGCTGCTGCAGCCACCTGGGGAGTGAACCAGCGGATGAAAGACCTCTCTTCCTCTCCCTGTAACTCTGACTTTCGAATACATAAATATATTATCTTTGTTTTTTTTATTGTAAAGAAAAAAAAAAAGATGACGAGAGAGTCCATCTCAGGGCATGGCCTTAGGGTGGGGAGAGTTCCCGCAGCAGACTCAAGTCCGATTGGCTACTCTGGCCCTCAGCCTCCCAGGCAGTTTCCTGACCTGGGGCCAGGTCTCCTAACCTAGCAGATGCCTAGTCCATGTGCGAGCCTTCAGCTGCCTTTCTCTCTCCCAAAGCCAGAGGAAAGTGGCAACACAAGTTTTTCAACATGAGAAGGCATCTCTATAAGGAAGCAATGCAGGGCCCCCAAAATGTGCTTCACCTCTGAGATTCCTGTCACCAATCTTCTGGACAAGTCCTGGGACCCCCAGTGTTCTAGGGACCCAACTCTGAGGTGTCCTCAACTCACTGCCAGGAGACAATGCACTTCTCAAAGTTCCCCGTTGCCCCCAGCCTGGTCAGAAACTTGATTTCTAAGGCCCAGGAATGAGCTCCGCCTCCAGGGGTGTAATTCAGTCTCACGCGACCAAGAAAGATCACAGGAACCTCCAGTGTTGGCCAGGACCCCTCCAGCTCACTGCAGAGGCTAACAGAGGCTAGCATTGTCGCTCTCATCCTCCCAAGAACCAATCGGAGCCTGTCGCTGTGAACAGATCCCGCCCTGCTCTGAGCCCGCCACACGGGCACATCTGAAGGAGCATGAACAACACCACTTTGTGAGGCTGCTGGCTCGCCGCCATCTTGCTTCTCTCCCACAAGGGCGGCGACTAGTGTCGGCTGCTACGTGTGCATAAGCCTCGCCACACAGTTGGGAGACGTCCATGAGCCGTTTGAGTAGTTGGTTCGGGGCACAGGCTCAGCCAAGGCTCGGAGCAAAGCCCTACAAAGCAGTATAAGCGTGAACTCTGCTTTGAATGCAAGACCAGAGTTTGGTCTCAGATGAATGAAGGAGAACAAAAACACGATGGGGCTGGGGGACCAGGGGGCAGCATCGCGTGTCTTCTTCCTCCCTGCACGCCTTGAGCCTCACACAAAGACCCTCCTTCAGGCAGCCAGCCTGTGCCAAGTCGCTTCTGTTTTCACACCTCTGCTTAGAGATAAGAGGTAATGCTTAGGAATCACATAACCGAGTTGCGAAATGAACCTGATCAGCTAAAATTGACCATTTTCAGTGCCAAAGTGGGAGCGAGCTTGGTAGGTGCTCAATGGGGCCCCTGTTTTCCTTCCTCCTCACCCAACAGCAGCTCACTTCTATGGGCCTCTGGTTGGCTGGCCCGTGGACTAAGGCTGAGAAAATCCAAGGGTTTGTGCTCAGTCAAGTGCACCGACTTGCACTCGCTGCCGTTTGGAAAGCACTGGAGTTAACTGACACCAGGAAGCTGCCTCTGACCCTCCCAGCCGCACAGGCAACGCCCACTAGGAGCTCAATTACAAAGGCCCTGGGGGGTTTAGGGGATGAAAGTGAAATGCTGACAGGCCCTTGGATCTCTGACCTCCTAGGCACTACCAGTTAGGACACTCGGCTCAGAAAAGCATTGTGTGCAAGAATACCATACACTCCGAATTCATATTTGATCCACTTTGCAAAATGGGATCAGAGGACTCCCAAGTGAAGCTGTAGGGAGGTACATGCCCTGGAGACATCAGTGTCTCAGGCAGACCTTGCCGTTCGTTACTGCTTAAAAAATATTTATTTATTTATTTATTTATTTATTTATTTATTTGAAAGGCAGAGTAACAGAAAGGGAGAGAAAGGGAAAGAAAGAGAGAATTTTCCATTCATTGGTTTATTCCCCAAATGTTCATGACAGGTAGGGCTGGGTCAGGCAAAGCCAGAAGCTAAGAATTGCATCCAGGTCTCCCACGTGGGTGGCAGGGGCCCAAGCACTTGCACCATCTCCAACGGCCTTAATAGGAAGCTGGATCAGAAGTGCAGTAGCGAGACTTGATGAAGCCCTCTGATACGGGCTTAACCAGCTTTGGAAAGAAAGGGAGGGAGAGGAGGGAGGGAGGGAGGGAGGGAGGAAGGAAGACATCGCATGAGCTCCTCTGGAGTGTGAGGCTTACGGAGCTGCAGGATGGGAAGCATCCTTCCCCTCTGGTTTTCTGGGATAAGAAAAGCTAGTGGAGTCAGAGACAGGTCTCCTGGAAACTCAGCTCGCCAGCCTTGGAGTGGACCAAATCACATTCTTTTGTTTGGCCCCTTCTCCCCTTAAGCAAGAGCCAAGCTGAAGAGGATCCCATAGAGGAGCACACATTTCACCCCTGTACCTCCAACATCTCTGCCCACTTCCTGTAAGAACATGTGTGTCAGAAGATGTGTAGTAACCATGGCAACATTGAAGCCCTTTGATTCTCTGACCTTAACCTAACTTCCAGAGAACCTTACCTCCCCTCCCTCCTCCACTACCAAAAGTCTAGGGCAGATCAAGGATCTCTCCAGAGTGGATGGTGTGTGTGTGAGAGGGGGAGGTTCAGAATTTCCGGGGAGGGGTGGATGTAGCCTGGAAAGCACTGCTAGTATGATTTTGTATGTAGAAACAGAGTGATCCCAATATAAATCACAGAAAGAGAGGTTTGATGGCAACTTGGCTAGTGGAGATCCACAGGGACCAGCCCAATTTTGGGGAGTAGATCAGTATCTCCAGGAGTGGGGGTTGGGGTAGAGAGTCTGTGAGAAGGAGGCTGGGAGCTCTGCTGACTTCCTGTCTGGGAGATCAGTGTGTACCCTGTAGATCCCTGTTCTATGCCTCACTCCAGCCCCCTTCCCCTTCTATCTTCCCACAGGCCACCCAAGCTCCGATCACCTGGATCTCCCAGTCAGCTCTCTGAGGCCTCTGGCCCAGCTGGTCTTCAGCACACATTTGCCACCTGGTGTCTTCGCTGCCCTCAGCAGTAAGGACACCACTGTTACCAAGGTTTTTGGGTTGGGCTCTGTCATGTGACTTCAAGTTACTATCTTAAATGTCCCTGAAGCCCCTAGAATAAGTGCAGAGCTTCATAAATGTTCTTAAAGCAAGCTATACTTCCTCCTATGTAGCCCTCATCTCAATAACTAAATTATTTTTAATGAAAGGGCTTGTTTTATTTGCATCCTTAGTATAGCAGAATAGTAATTATTATTTACTAAGGGCTTGTAGTATAGACTCTGAGTCTGGTGCTGCCTGCAAGGAGCTTTGCCTGCGTTATTGGTATCAGTCCTCTGCATCAGACATTTCTCCCATTTTAGTTGTAGATTACACAAAGGCCACTCAGCAAACACCTGCGGAACCAGGACTGGAACTCCAGTCTGCCTGACCCCACAAAGCATTCCACTGCATCTCCAGCCCCTTGGTCTCTTGGCTATGCCCACAGTATCTGTAAGGTAAGTGAGTGAATCAGCACAGACCTGACCTGGCATGACATTTAACAAGTGGCATTTACATTCCCTATGGGGACAGTAGCAGTTCCAGGCTATTTTTCTCCTCTTTCTCCCCCAAGCCCTCATCCCCACTGCTTTCCCCTTGATCAGCCCAAGAACACGAGCATGCTTTTGTAGAAAACCTTGTACTGCTCTCTGTAGTTTTCACTGTGTGTGTGTATGCTACCTTAGTGACACGTGGCCACATGGACCCATGGGTCCTGCACCCACAAACTCATACAAACACAGAGCCAGAATGTTTGTGGAAAATTTGCACCTGTGCTAAACCTGTACAGACTTCTTTCTTGTCATTATTTCCTAAAACAATGCAATGTAACACCTATGAAGCATTTACATTATAGAAAGTATTATAAGCCATCCAGAGATGGTTTACATACACAGCAGGGTGCTCAAAGGTCATTTATGCAAAATCTACGCTATTCTATAAGGAGTCTGATGACCCCTGGACTTCAGTATCCTGAGGGAGAGGGCCCAGAGACTTCATTCTATTTCTTAGTGTTTTAACCAACACTCTGCCTTCTGGATACTTGCCAGTGTATCTACAGCAAAAACCTTGCTTCTGAGAGCAGGACCAAATTCCACAGTTTCTACCCACCGATGTTGACTTCTCTCTTTCCCTAGCGCTGGACACCTCAGGGACCTGTACTGCTTTCCTCAACCATCACGCAGCAGTGCCCTGTCTATCATGTGTCCAAGAACTTGTCAGGCAATTCCAGCTGAGAGCATGACTTTGGGAGAGCTGCTGGCCTCTCCCTCTGATGCCGCAGACTGACAATTTTGTGCTTTCAGAAGCTGAGTCCCCAGATGTACCTTCAGAAAGAATTTTCTACTGCATGGTTTGGTTTTCCCTTTCTTATGCACATGACTTATTACCCCATCTGTGTTGTTGAATACTTAGTAGTCATGTAGCAGATTCAGGACACAAGGCCTGGGTTCAGATCCCACCCTCACAATTGACCAGCTGTACTTAATGTTTCTGTGCCTTAGTTTTCCCATCTGTAAAATGGCAATGGTAATGATACTAGAACCCATCACACAAGGTTATTGCATTTAGAATAGTGCTTGGCAATGGTACGCATTTAACAAAATGTCTGTTCTCTCTGTTTAAATACAGATAGAGTCTGAGTTAACAAAACCAGATACAATGATCCCTCATTATCCACAGGCTTGGTTCCATGACCACTACAGTTACAAAAATCTGTAAGTGTCCAAGACCCTTACCTTAAATGGCAAATGGGCTGGCATTGTGCAATAATGGCTTAAGTCACCATTTGGGACACTAGCAATCCTTACAGTTGCCAGTTTGAGTCCTAATTGCTCCACTTTCTATCCAGTTCCCTGCTAATTCACCTGGGAAAGCAGCAGAAGATGGCCCAAGTCCTTGGGTCCCTGTCACCCATGTGGGAGACCTGGATGAAGCTCCTCGCTCCTGGTTTCAGCCTGGCTCAGCCCTGGCTGTTGCAACCAACTGGGGAGTGAACCAGTCTCTCGGTCTTTCCCTCTCTCTCCTTGTAACTCTGACTTTCAAATAAATAAATAAATCTTTTTTTAAATGGCGTGGTATTTGCATATGATTTACACACACTTATCTCCTATACATTAAATCAACTCTAGGGTCTGGCACTGTAGCATAGCGGGTAAAGCCACCACCTGCAGTACCAGCATCCCATATAAGCACAGGTTCAAGTTCCAGCTGCTCCTCTTCCCATCCAGCTCCCTGCTAATGGCTTGGAAAAGCAACAGAAGATGGCCCAAGTCCTTTGGCCTCTGTACCTGCATGGAAGACTCAGAAGAAGCTCCAGGCTCCTGGCTTCAGTTTGGCCCAGGTCCAGTCATTGCAGCCTTTTGAGGAGTGAATTGGAGAATAGAAGACCTCACTCCTTCTCTGCCCCTGCCTCTCTGTAACTCTTTCAAATAAATAAATAAATCTTAAATAAACTATAGATTACTTACAATACAATATAAACACTATGTAAATAGCCATTTTACTGTGTTGTCTGGGAATAATGATAAAAATAGTCTATACACATCTGGTACTGACATGAATACTTTTAAAAAAAATGTGTTCAACCAGCAGTTGGTCAACTCCATGGAATTTTGAATCCACATGTAGAGAGGCTGACCACATACAACTTCTGATGCTGTCTGCATAAAGTTAAGACTTTAAAAAGAAAATAAAGAGAAACAGAAGATGTGTCTGGCTACATCAGAGTAATTCTCTTTGAAATCTGTAACGACAAAGGCCTTTACAGGCTCATTTTGGCCTTGCGAGACCAAACACTTACGTATAAACAACAGAACCCCAAAGAAATCTGCTCCCTCCTCTGTGTCTGGTGCTGAGTTTTACAACTGACCAGTTCTGGCTCCAGGAGGACCCTGTTCCCCAGGGTTGGGCAGGTGTTCTTGGCTGCCCCGGCTGACTTTCCACTCCTATGTCACCTTCTGCAGCAGGAGCCCTCAAGAGTTTAAGCTGGATTCTCCAAAGACAGCACCAGCCCCCAGAGAGCTGGGGGGTAGGCGACAACTGCAGAGATCTCTTTCATGTTGGGTGATGCGTGGGTGACTCAGTGCTGGCAGCCCTGATGGGCCTATAGTTAAGGCTCTGGTGGGACTCAAGCCTGAATTTTATGGCTTGTTTGTCCTAAACTCACGCAACATTTTTTCTCGCCTTAAAGATGAAAGGATCACTTTCCCCACACATCTCTGTCTGCCGCATTTTGTACCATGTAGACTTCTATGGCTTCCTTTTATTTATCTAGAGAGTTAACTTCTGAAGGATGGGCACATCTCCCTGACCAGCCATAGCTGAGGAGCTTGACGTAGAAGACACGACATGGACAGTTTGGTGGCCTTCTGAAACACTTCTACGTGAGTTCAGTCTGCCACAGTTCTTCCCATGGCTTTTCCCACTGTAGCACAATGTCCTACAAACTATGGGAAGCCCTCTGAGTCGACAAAAACCAGCCTGTCCTCCCATAAAGCTGTGAATCCCTTCAGGGAAGGGTTCACTTTTTCCACTTACTTGATTCTTCCATAGGGCCTAGCACAGTGTCTTGTAGATACTCAAATATTTGCTCATTGATAAGACTCCAAGACAGATGGGAGGGAATGGCCAACATTTGCCTAAAGAAAAATGAATGGTTTTAATACATAAAACCTTTTAATTCTCCTGATTAGGAATAGTCAAAATTTTGATTTACACAAAAATATTCCAATGCAAAAATTGTATTACATACAAGATACTTTGTAAGTTAAGAACCTGCCTAGTGACAGAGAATCATTTGTTTATTTGCACATGGACAAATATTGAGCAAGTACCCATTTGTGTCAGGCTCTATTCTGGGCATCAAAGGCACAAGGTGGAGACAGTCCCTGGCCTCAAGTTCACAAATGTGGAAGGGAGACTGGCAGGCAAGGAACCAACTAACATATTGTAAGGTAAGCCCTGTGGTGAGGTTGTCAGTAGATCCACAGCACAGAGTGGGCGTGAGGTCCTGAGGCTCAGGAGCAGATCACGCATAACTTGGGATCAAGTGGGAGCTTGGCCCGTCCCAGCTGGGACAAAGCGCTGGATCCCACCCTAGAGAAGCTCCTGGAACTGCCAATCTCCATTTCCTCATTTGAAATAGTAATTATGCCAAAATTATGAATTTTAAGAGAAAATTAAAATTACAGTTTGAAAATGATACAGCATACACAAATAAATTATCAGAAAAGAAGTACAGGGTCAGAGTTGTGGCACCGCTTGGGATGCCCACATGGCCTAGTGAGCACTGATTTGAATCCCAACTGCTTTGCTTTCAATCCAGCTCCTTGCTGATGTACCTGGGAAGCAGAGAGGATGGTACAAGTCTGCGGGAGACCCAGATGAAGTTCCTGGCTCCAGGCTTTGGTCTGGCTGAGAGCTGGCTGTGGCAGGCATGTGGGGAGTGAACCAGCAGATGGAAGATAGATCCCTCTGTCTGTTCACCCGTTACTCTTTCTGTCAGTCTGCCTTTCAAATAAGTAAATGCATAAATCTTTCTCTTTCTTTCATTCGTTCTTTCTTTGTTTCTTTTTAAAGAATACAGTTGGTCTTCTAGATCGGCACACTTCATATTGTGGATTCAACCAATCTTCAATAAGTATTTGAAAAAAAAAAAAAAGTGCATCTGTACTGAGGCATCTTATCTTGTCACATTCCCTAGACCGCACAGTAGAGTAACTACTGACAGAGCGGGTACCGTGTGCTACTGTTGTGAGTCATCTAGACGACTGAAGGAACACAGCAGGATGTGCATAGGTTATGTGTAAATGCTACACCACTTTATAAGAGGGGTTTCAGCATTCGAGGCCTTTGGCACACACAGGAGCTCCTGCAACCAGTCCCATGTGGACCCTGGGGGGCAGCTGGGCACTAAGAGAACACGCCTCGAGAACTGGTGTAAGGACACATTTGCTCCATACCTGAGAGGGTGCTGAAACTCCTCGTGGCCAGTTACACAAGGGTCTGTGCCACTTTAAATTAACTTCCTGGGGCCAGCACAGTGGTAAAGCAGGTAAAGCTATTACCAGCAGAGCCGGCACCCCATATGGGTGCCAATTTGTGTCTCAGCTGTTCTACTTCCCATCCAGCTCCCTGCTAATGACCTGAGAAAAACAGTGTAAGATGGCCCAAGTGCTTGGGCCCCTGCACCCATGTGGGAGACCTGGATGAAGCTCCTGGCTATCTGGGGAGTGAACCAGTGGATGAAGATCTCTCTCTCTCTCTCTCTATCTCTCCCTCCCTCCCTCCCTCCCTCTCCCACTCCCTGTCTCCTTCTCTCCTCTCTCTCTCTCTGTCCTTCTCTCTATATAACTCTGACTTTCAAAATAAATAAATAAAGCATTTTTGTAAAAGTTAACTTCCTATCTTCTCGCCTTCTCCAAGGTGAAAGCAAAAAGCTGAAGATGAAACCCAGACATGATCCCTTGCAAAGCACCTTATTTTGTGAAGGAGAACTTAGCCCAGAGTTGGGCCACATCTCAGGGAGGCAGTTAGGATGGGACCAAGATTTGATAGACAGTTGCCTTGGTTACTATATTTAATCTACTCATGAAAGCAAAAGTCACATGGACTCATCAACATGCTCACAGATTGAGTGGAATTTCTCGGGAGGCAGCGTAATTGTTTGGAATTTGGAGTAACTGAAAACACTGAAACAGGAGGTCCCAGCAGCAAATGGCTTTAGATAGCAGGCCCACAGCTACCACTGCGACTCCACAGAGACTTCCAGAAAGAGTCCTGTGCGCGGTCCTAACCTAGGTTTTGCTTGCTGTTGAGTCGTCAGGACAGACCCCTTCCAAAGAGCTTCTTTATTCCTGTCCCTCAGGAGGATGACCAAAGGGATGTGTTTCTTAAAATCAGGCCAGGTGTACACAACGCCACACACAGGGAAAATTAAATACCAGCGCCAGAGCCAGTGAATTGTGTTCCCTGCCCCCGTCAATTACAAAAACAATGCCCAAGGAAGGGAAAATGGGCTTCATGTAAACCAAATGGGCTGGCTAACACGTGCCCCTTTTCTCCGCTTCCTAATCCTTTTATAAGTCCCATTGAGATGGGATTTGCTTTTAGACTGATTACGTGGCTGGAAATCAGCATAACGACATTTGCTGAAAGGGAATTCCTCATCTTGGCTCAGTTCGGTTTCTTCCTAGCAGAGATTGGATGCTGGGCCTGGCTGGAACCAGCTGCATCCCAGGTCAGTGGGTCTTCCAAAAGCATCTCAGAGGTGAGGAGGACCCTCAATGCAATCTCTCAATTTTTAAATAGGGAAATTTGGACCCAAATGAAGGCAGAAAATTTTCCTGGCAACTCAGTGACAAAGCCAAAACAGGCTCCCAACCAAAGTTTTTGGACATGAAAAGCCCAGTTCACCTCCACTACTATTTGGGCCTCAGGTTGGATCTTCTGGAATGTTCCAGGCCAGGATTTTTCTTGTTATTTCTTTGGTCCTGCAAAAAACTTCCAGAACTTCTGGTATCAATCATCATTATATTATCAGCAACTCTCACTTGCTGATTGTCATAAATGACTACTGTAGGAGCTTGAAGGAAGACCCAAATCAAAGCCAGGATCTGTGCAGAGCTTCAGGCTAGATAGCATGGTCTGGGATTAGGTGAAATATTTCTAGTAATAATAATGGAAATACTAATTTGTATTGATCCGAGGGCTAAGTGCTTTTCTTGTTTGCCTGTTCTAATCCTCCCATGAAACCTCACACCCATTTTATAGATGAGGAAACTAAGACCTGCTCAAAGGTCACAAGCTGAGTCAGCACACATGGTTACCTCCCTCCAAAGCCCACAGGTGAAAACATTCTCTGGGAGGTGGGAGGGGGAGCATAGGAATAACTGAGGAAAAGGAATCATAGGGCTCTCTCCTCTAAGATGGTCCTAAGATATTAGATCATATAGGAAATCTTTCACAGCTATTATAATAATGACATAGTCCCATGTTGAGCCTCAGGAAACAGGAGTTTTTCTCAGCAAGGACATTCACTAGGAAACAGTGCCACTTGGCAATACCCTTTCAAGTTCACCAGATATGTTAATGAGCTAATGTTCTCTTTGTATGCTCAGACCCTTCTGAGAAGGCTTTTTAATTTCTTCTGATTCTTAATTTACAAAATGCATATGAAATTTCTGAGTAC